CTTTTTAATTTAATCTGTCTTTTAAGCCAGTATCACTATCACGATATAATCTAACCAGAATTGTTATTTATGATTCTGGTTAGATTATTTTTGCATTTTGTGTATTATTTGTGAAGTATCGATGAGTTTATAAACGCTGTAACGAATATTTGTATATGAAATGTTTATTTTATATGTTGAATTAATAAAAAAGTGTAACTTATCAAATCTTTTGTAAAATCAAGAAAGATAAAACATAACACAGGTTGACAACGACAGGTCCTAATTTGCATAGCTTTCACAGGGTTTGTAACACAAACACATTTAGTATTTCCGTCTGAATGTGTATTACGAAAGATTATTTAGCAATTGGTGTCAAAGAGTTAGAAAGGACAGCATAATATAATGAAAGAGTTTAAGTTGGCAAGGTTTACTAAAAGTCTTATATAAAAATGTAGGTTACATTGAAGATCACTTTGGCTATGAAAAAAATTGTCAGCAAAACTGGCCAGTAATAACGTTTCAATGATTTTCTATTTCGTAATCTGGAGGCTCTACAGTAAATTTGTCAGGTTGTATCAACTAGGTACTAATTTGTTCATGTAATCTAAAGCATAGATTACTTTACCCTTGTTTCGATATTGAGACAAACAGATTTAATTCGGATTAATTTTACATTTCTGATCTCTACGCTATGCTATGCTACTATGCTTTTTGCAATCCTTATATCATCAAGAACAAAATGTCTACATGTTGCAGTGTTACATTGTTTCTCAATATTTAGTACACAAATCAATCGATCAATGAAAACCTTTTGAAGTGGTTAGCCGTACGTAATGACAAAATAGCAACGATTTCATCACCTGCCCGACTGTCGGCTGCCCGCCTGCCCCCTGCCCTCCTGCTCTCCTGCCAATAGAGACATATCCGCCGGATACTGCCTCTAACTTACGCAACTTAAGACTTAAGTTAACTTTATACAACTGCCCATTCATTCGCAATATATCTTGTATTTCTGTTACGTACACATGAAAATGAATGAAATTTATATCTTTAATTTGTATTTAATATTTAGGTAAAAAGGCAATGAAGAAGAAACATTAGTTTTTATAATATATAACTTCTATCTGTAAATTCAATTTCATAAATAAAACAATTCATTTTTCCCCTTAAAGGTGGCTACACGACCGGCGGTCCACGGGAAGCGGGCACCTACTACCCCGAAGCGAGCGGCGCGACCTCCGCGCCGGGCGCTTCGCCACTCGAGGAGTACTACCCGCCGGAGTACCCGGCCGGAGCGCCCGCCGCACCGCCGCAGCCCTACCTCGACGACTATTACCACCACGCGCATGCACACGCGCAGCCTCTACTCACGCACGAACATAAATACCAACCGCACACGTATAACAAGCCATACCCACGAAGTAAGTAATTTTTATAATCACAAATTAACAAAAGTTTTATTATATTTCAAACTAGCTGTTTCCATGCGACTTCATCCGCATAAAATTATAAAAAAATCATTTTATTGTTCATATTTGTCAAATTATCATGCAAATGTTAAAATGACATGACATGATGTCAAACCATGGCAACCTTGCTTCCTTGATGTTAGCAACAACTTATGGTCTCTTTCCCACATTAGGGGTTTTATCCAAAATATTTACCCTTAAGTTTAACGGCGTGAAAATATTCAGCCTAAAGCGTGACGTAAGTATAGGGCTTTTTATTAAAAAAGATTTATTCGAAAATATGCTGTGATTGCTGACACCTTGGACAACAAAAAAGTGTGTTTACGCTTTATTATATTAGTATAGATAGATAATAACTTAAAGTTTAGTGATGTGAAAAGGTGAAAGATCCCTATACGTGTGTAACGAGCTTGTGGACTCATTTATGTGTAGGTTTAAACAAAAACAATGCAATAAATCCGTGTAACGCGCTCAGTCTATAACAAAAGTAATCTTGTTATATGCAAAATAATTGTAGAAGCGTTCATTCATTACAGAAGATCACAACGATAGCAGTAACAATAACAAAGGGATTTGTATTCCGCATAATTAATGAATATTTAGTTTCAAGATGGACGATCATTAACGCGACATCCTTTCATCTTCTTTTAATATGTTGTTTCTCGGAAGTGTCACAGCAATGCACTAATTTGTTTATATTTTATCTGTCTTTTATACCTTTGTCGTGGTAAATATTTCCAAAATTTTACTACTCATTTCAATTTATAATAAGATATAATTTATAGGTTATTTTAAAGTTTTATAATACTTACGTGTTATTTTGAATTTCTTCTTTAAAACACCATTCTTCGAGTTTCTTCTTAATTAAGTGCACAAAAGTCGATTGTTCTTTAAATTCTAACGAATGTGTTAATTTTAACAAACTATACGACTTTAACCAGCTTATATTGAGAGCCACGTTCTAACTGACCAGTGGGAATCTCGCCTTTCGACATCCCGTGTGCGAATATCTGAATATTTTAAACTAAATGACACAAGTCGTCGACTCATATCCGCTAATTCGACATCCGTAGTTTCTTTTGCGATGTAGAAATCTAGGTAAAGTAGGTTATTTTAACATCAACTCTTTTAACTATTCTGATGAATAAATATGTTGACGATGCTTTTGTTTTTTTTTATTATTATTATTATAAGCGTAGTAGTTTATTTAACGGATTTAGTTTTTTATTGACAACACGTAACTAACAGTTGCACGGATCTCGACTTTCATGGCGAAGTGGTACAATCTAGAGTAATGAATTACTAGATTGGTTATCAATTCCGTACCACCTGAATAAAACGAAAATTGTAGTTATTTATTATGTATTGCAGACAGCGGGGGTAGATATGGCGGCGGTGGAGAGGTTTACGGCGAGGGCTACGCGGCGGAGTACGGCGGCGCGTGCGACTGGGCCGAGTGGCCCGCCGAGCAGCATGCGCTGTTGCCGCAGGACAAGCTGCCATACCCTGCCACCGGGCCCTGCTTCACTGGTCAGTTGCAATACTACTCGCTAGTTTACAATCATAGTATTAAGATGAGAAGGTCGTACTACAATCTACGTAATAGTACTAAAATTTGATGGTCTTACATTCACTTGCATGGATCCAGAAATTTAGTAAAAAAAAGTATTATGTTATAGAAATATCTACTAAATCTACCCTTTTCTAAACTATATGATACAAAAGTTTAGTAGAAAACAACAATGTATTTGTAGTGCAAAATAACCTTCGAAGCCGTTGTTACTTTATGATGAAAAGTTAGGTGTTGGTTTATAAAATGAGTAGTACATAGTAAAGCGAGCGTGGGTTACTGTGCAGGTTCAGGGCCCATCCAGCTGTGGCAGTTCCTACTGGAGCTACTAACGGACAAGAGTTGCCAGGGCTTCATCTCCTGGACCGGCGATGGCTGGGAGTTCAAACTCACGGACCCTGATGAGGTCAGTATTATTATTTTTCTAGTGCATTTAATTCTGATGATAGGCCGTTACTTGATTAATGTATTCCGGTAGAAATAAAATAATTTCTTCATCTATATCCGACCATTTCCTTTTATGTGGCCACGACTCTTTCACCAAGTCCACCTTCTTCAATTGCCTATTATTACTTTTCTTTTTTTTTAGATGCGTTACTTGAAAATCTTAGAAACAATACACAGATGTAAATTCAAATAAAATATACAGAAACGAAAAAACTAATCAAAAATGTTTTAATTAATATTATACCTGTTTAAAAAACCAATCCCAATACGTTTTAGGTAATAAAATGTATGGCAATTTTATCGTCCAATGATAATGGATGGATTTTTATTAGATGTTATACCAAATGTTGTTCAACTTCCACATAATATTTTGATAATAAGATATTTTTAAAATAAAATCATATAAATTAAATTTACATTGATATCAGCCATTTTTTTGTCTATTTTTACAACGAATTTTAATAAAAATACATTATTTTATGTTGTAAATATGTTAGTGACAAATTTATGTACCTAAATCTATAAAAACTAACCAATTTAACAATTTGCATAACGAAAATTAATTTGGAATTTTCTATATTTAATTTTAAAATGTTTATATATAATTTTAAATTGACGTCAATAACACATTTACTTTAGTTTTAATAGTTTAACATTTAAATAAGATAAATGGTGTCTAAAAGTCAAACAAATATACCAAATCAAAACTAATAAAAACACTCTTGACGTATTTTAACAGATAACATGAATACATGACTGTGTTTTTTTGTCGAACGTTTTAACGCTTCAGCTAAAATTAAGATCAAATATAGCAATTCCGCGTTTCGTGTGATGAGAGTGGTGCCTAATTTTAGTCCCTTTCCATTTCCACCCTTTTCTTAAGAGGAAAGGATGGGAAGGAAAAGTGGATTTGAGGTTGGAGGTGACGTATTGGAAGGGAAAATGTCCGTCTATTTATGGGCAGCGGTCGCTTTCCACCTTGTATTATAAAAAGAAAAGCTTTATCCATCTGTACGAGGAAAATTAGGATGTTTGTTAACTTTTTAAAAAAACATTTTTAAGGTTATTTTTAATCGTACCAGGTGGCGAGGCGCTGGGGAATCCGCAAGAACAAGCCCAAGATGAACTACGAGAAGTTGTCCCGCGGCCTGCGCTACTATTACGATAAAAACATCATACACAAGACCGCCGGCAAGCGCTACGTCTACCGCTTCGTCTGCGACCTGCAGAGTCTGTTAGGGTAACTATTATATCGTAATAATTTAACAAAAAAAAATCTAGGTAGCTTGTTTCTTTAAACTGGTTAAAACCTTTTAAATGAACGACACTTAAATTACTAATAAGACTACAGGAGAATTAGGTTAGAATCACCTTACATTATCTGTGGAAAATATAACCAGTGTGACCAACATGTTAAATACTTCCAGTGCCAAGGACTCATTCTGGTTACATCTTTGATTTTATAATATGTTTGCATAATAAAAATGCGTAATGCTTGTTCTTGCATTCATTTATTTTGAATACGTTTGTACATATGTGCAAAAATGTATAGCATTTTTTAACTTGAATCAACAAACTACTTAATCCCATATTAATTCTTGATTAAACTCCTGAAGCTACCTGCATAGTGTTTGGGTGATTTCGGTTTCGAAATTTTATTACACAAAATTACGATAAACCGAAACGATAAATGGATAAAGGCACAATCATTTTGTATTCGTTTCTTTTCTTTGATTTCCGAAGAATAATATAACCTTATGTACAATTTGATATTTTATGTGTTTCACATTTTAGTTTTATCATTGGTTTCTTAAGATCGTTAAAACAGACGGGTTTTTTAATTTCGTGATTCCCAAAAACCTCATATTTTTCGTTGTTTTTATGTTTTTTAAACACAAAAAGGTTATATTGACCCCTACGTTTATTTACAGATTTTTTAGTATCTATTTTTATTAAAAAATTTATATTCATTATTTATTCCAAATTTAAGTTGTCCATTCCAAATCATTTTGTCAAAGAATCTCCTACCTGTTTATCAAATTTTATCTTTCTCTAGATATTTTTTTAAAATACAACTTCCTTTATCGACCAAAAATTAGATAACGGAAACCTAATCAATGCTACGCTTATAAAATGTCTACGAGTGCGGTTTTTTTTTCGAAGCTAAGAACTACTTTGACAAGTCTCAAAATTCAGAAGTTTAATTTTTGACTTTGATTGCAGAATATCCCCTGAACAATTGCACGCCATGTACGAGCCTAAGATGGAGAAGAAAGACGACGATTGAAGCGACCGTCATCGGAATTAAAGCCAACAAGCGCATGTCACAAGCAAAACCACAAATGAGACCCATTTTACATTAGATCGTCGATTATTTCAATCACTTATTTAACTTTGAATTTTATACTCATATTTTTATGGCTGTAATTAGAAATGGCAGCGCCCTGATCATGGTGATTTTTTATGACACATTTCTACAAACTGGTTTATATAACCGTGGGTTTACACTGCTATCATGCCTTACCAATACGAAAAAAACAGATACAAAAATGCTGTACAGGTGTTTTGATAAAGAAAACCTTTTGGGAAAAATGATTGTTTTTAAAAAAAATGGTAATGAATATTGTAATGAAATAAATATTTATTACATATAAACTTGGTGCTGTACTTTAGCCACGTAATCACATGGTTTTGAACTTTTTTGTCATATGTTATTTAAAAACTATTTTTCCACACAATTCCTTGATAAATGTAATTGGTTTGTAAAAATGTGTCATAGGTAACTCTTAAACATAAAAAATGCACGAAATCTTGTCGCCACGGGGACATTTAACGAAACGAATGTTACTAAAATTATTTTATTTTCCTGCGTCTCTAAATTTTATAATTTACTAAAGTAGGTGTCACATAAAACTTCGGACTTGATCTCATTTCATCCACCAGTGGAATTTATACTTATAAAAAAAAAATAACACACGACCGCGTTGATGGTTCTATTATAAATACAATTAACATATTAAACCTTATATATTAAGTATCCATTCACGACCAACGGTGCCTTACTATTACACAACTTATTGTTGTTCATATTTTTGTTTCGTATTATTAAAAAAAATAACTGTCACGATCAGTTTCTTTCTTATTTAAGCCTTTCCATTGGATATATTTACGTTTATTATTAAAACATTAAAAAAACGATTGTTTTAATTGTATTAAATTTAAAAAGAGTATTAATTCATTTTGGAAAAAAAATAAAGTTTCCTAACACATTAGATCATAATAAAAATGTAGATCTCGCGTTATCTGTCAACTTTATTTTTTATTAATTCCCGCCAAATTAATGCTGTGCAATCTGGCACAGATTATATTTCAAACAAGCCTGTAAAAATGTGGTTAAACGGATTCAATTTTTTAATCAAGAATCTTATCCAATTATAAAGTACTGAAAAAAAATCATATATAGATTAAATAGTAAAATTCTGCTATCGATTTAATAATACTGTAAATATAAGTTAATTTGTTACTTTATAAAGATAATTAGGTATTATATTATAATAGTTATTAAGTGTTGTATGTTTGATTCGCAATTGTTGCAATATGCGGTTAAAATAATACATAGAATGTTGGACATAAAAATTATTTTCTTTTTCTATACAGAAAGGTCCAAAGATTTCGGGGATCTAAAATACCCACCAATCGGTGAACCTAATGCGAAATTACCAAAGGTACTTTCTCTGTTAGGCAAACTGCAAGTAGCAATGTAATCAGTTTTTACAACAGAGTGCCAAGAACTTTCGGGCGCCAAATGTCTGGTATAAAATAGCAACATGCTGCAACATCGGGTGACGTCAACTTGTCGCTGATCTCGTAATAAGGGATTGTAATGTCTAACTAGTTATGAAATTAATTAGATGTATTATTTTCAATTTTTATAGCTCCTAGCATACACCGAAGATATTTCGATAAGTTTTATTTTGTAAAGTATTTCTCCTCCATCAATATCATACGGTTATCGCCAGCACGCCCGGTGGATTGCGATGCGTTGGTGCTGAAACTACATATTATCATAATAAATTCGAATGTCTTCCCCGTTTGTTTCGATAAATTAGTATTTCTTTAGATAAGTTAAATTTCATATAGCATGTGAATTCAACATATTATATTATTCGTTAATGAGCCATATTATAAACAAGAAACGTTACGTTTTACATCTAATTGCAGCCAAATTTTTAATGAAATAAGTGTCGTTGTATGTATTGATGGAAGATATAAAATTAAATATATATATTTACGAAATCACATGGAGTTTTTTTTAAATGAATACCTATTATTTTATTTATACAAACTTCTTGCAATGATTAAGAGCTTTTCATATGGCCATGATATTTAAGCAAAGACTACTATCTATTCACAATAAGTTGCAGAACGATTGCTAAGAGCAGAAATATAAAATGAGACTCATTGCATCATCACTCTCCACGAGTCCCTTGCTAAAAGTGGGCCTTCTAAAGTAGATCCACCGCTTAATAAGTCTATCATCTCTTGCCTCTACTGTACAAACCTATTGGAAGATAATAATGAAGGAGAAGCGCTTGAAACACGAAAGAACAAAGTCATCTCTCCTACCGTATCCTACTCTCGTAAGGTCATCGCACCGGATTTCGTCCTCTTCTCCAAATAACTCTATCATCCGTCATCTCCGTCACCACCCCCTTCTTGATCATATCACCTTTCACGCAATATATCTTACTATATTCCATAATCCATCTATATCTTTCACAAAAACAAAAAAAAGTATTACCTATTTGTGGCTAAATAGTAGAATAGTACCAAAAATCTAAAACTTTTTAAAATAATTTACGGTAGCTTTTCCTCATTATTTTATTAACTTAACAGATTATCAAAACTTTGCTGTATTCTGTAAACACAACATTACGCAGCTGTCAAAATGACAGATTCCAAAACATTACTTGTCAAAATCATAACCTTAGTGTTAACGAAGCACGAATTGTTTTATCCAAAATATTAAATAAAGATGAAACTGACACGAGTATTAAATCGACAACACATAGATTTTATGTTTAAAAAACATTGGTTAGTTCAAGGAAAGCGAGTTCCAATCGACACCGGTGTCGAGGATGTGCTTAGGAAAAAAGGTATTCCTGTTGAAGATGCGCTTGAATTTATCAAAGAAAAACCAGTACGGGAGAGGTATGCCGTATTTATTTTAAAAAAATATAGAATCTATAAAACCGAACAGGGGTTTACCACTAAAACAGTTTGAACATGCACTAATGGGGTATTTAATTCAGATGTTGCTTTAATTTTCAGAGTAAATATTGTTGGTCCATATGAGCCTCAACTACCATTAGATGAGACACATCCAGATTACAAAACTAGACCCTGTCTTACACTCACCCATAAAAGTGTCCTACTTGAAGGCATTGCACAAGCACAAGTATTAACAAAAACCATCATAGCTGAGAACAAGCTACCAAATAAAATTGAAGAGTTAGCTGAAATAACTGTACCCAAAGCTGTGCATGAAGGAGTCAAAAAGGCCATTTTGTCATCTAATGTGTTTGATTGTGAACAAAAAAAGTTGCCCAAGATAAAAGACCCTGTGAGACCTGCTTATAACTTTCCTAGAATCTTGGGAATAACGGATCGGAGACGCAAGTAAGTATTTTTACTTTATAGTTATAACAGTTGAAACTATAATCAAATCCAAGAAACTATCTATTATGTTCCATTTTTGATAAATGGATGCATTATTTAGATGTTGTAATAATTTTTGTTTTTTCTTTCAGCCAAATAATTACCAATAAACTATTGCAACTCATTGAAAGATGCAGTGATTTTGAACTTACCCAGACAAGATATGCATTAAATGATGTAGAATGTAAAACAGTGTTTGCTAAAGATGATGATTTGATACAATTTCAAGATGTATCCAACTTATTGGTAACAAGCAACAGTTCATTGAAACATGATTTGAATGAGAAGGACATTCAGTTTGTTGAAATACCAGACCTATATCCTGTAAAGCACACTATCACATTGCCTCCAGAACATTTTTATGATGACAAAAGCATATATCGTAAGTTTCATAACTTTATTTTATAATTAAAAAATACATACTGTATTATTTGTAAGGACTTTCCTTTGGAAATTTGTAAACATAAAACATGAAAATTTGCTGGTTTTATTGTATTTTTAAATGTTTGACAACTAAAATTTCTTCAATTACAACTCCAAAAATTAACACCCAAAATACAATTTAACAGCATGTAAATAAAATTTTATTACCTTACTTTTTGTTTTTAAACTAAAAAAATACTTTTTGCAATAATCCCATAAGCTGAAAATACTTTTCTCTTGCAGCGATTCAATTCAATGTGAGTAGGAAACATCCACATACCACATGGCTGCATTTCAACAGGACAGAAGTGAGCAATATCTATGAAACTCCAGTCACCGACACACAGATATATGGCAGGGCACTCACTCATGTATTCACCATAGCTTCGGCATATGCAAAGGAGTTGTATGGGGTAAATATTCAGTCTTATATGTACATACTTTATATCGTTTCCATTTTAGTCAAGAACATAGATTTCATAGTTACCCTTTGCCCACAACTAGTCCCAGTAGAATAAAAAAACACTTACCAAATAAGTTCTGTTATTCCAGATTATGTTGTACATCTGTGTACATTCATTAAAATGCAATGAGTTATGGTGATACCTTCTAACAAACATCCATCCATCCATTAAGACTAAGGTTGTTGAAGTAATTTTCCTCTTAATGTGGTATTACTCTTTTTCACAATTATTCACAAATTTCCTTCCTCATCCATTGCCAAAGTAAATAGTAAAAATCCCCATCCTTTCTGCATTCAAGAACTTTTAAGACATTGGATAATTTAATTAAAAAACAAAATGTAACAATTATCAATACTTTTTCTATAATTTGTATGGAGAAAAAAAATCTTTGGGGTACAAAATAATTAGTTGTATTTCCAAAGTTATTTACTATAATAAATATGTTTTTTCACAGGAAGAAGTTGAAGATTTGCCGGAGCCGATTTACGTGAACTGCATACAAACAGACGGACAGAAATATCATTTCGGTGTATTTGAACTGAACACATTGAATGTTGACGGGGTTGAGGGTACAAAGAATGTGTGGTACTGCAAAAATGATGTGAAACTTTACGATAGGAGTTGTTACTTTAACGGAATCCCAGTCTTAGAAAACTACAATCCAAAGGTATATGGATATATTAATGCTTTTTACAACTGCTGAAATGTATTTAAAATGTATATTATATTTAAACTAAGATATATTTAGTTGAATTCGAAGAAGTGTTTAAAAAAATAAAGTGTTATTTAAATGTATTCATGTGTATAACCCTTTATATTTACAAGAACATAAATACATTTTGTTTTAGATTAGAATACACAATGTTTGCATACCAAAACACTTTTTACATTAGAATTAATAGCAAGTTGATAACTTGAACTGAAAATTTTCCGTGCAAAGTAATTATTATTTGGCCGTTGTGAATTTCTGCAATCGGCGTCTTCTTAGCTCCTCCGCGTCCGCGTCGGCCTCAGTCTTCGGCTCTCTACGTAATATACAGAAATAAGTTTAAAAAAATATTAAAACAAGCTATCAATGGAAGAATAAATACAGATGAGTAACATTATAAAAAAGGAAAGTAAAAAGAGGCATCGAACGCCACAGTTCGACTATTGAATTCAAACTCTGAACTGAGTCTGTAGTGCCCGTAAATATAGATTTAGAAAGTATCTTTTAAAGCATACCATATTATAAAAGCGAAAGTTTAGATGGATGAATGTTTGTTAGAGTTTGTAGCCTAAACTTTTGAACAGATCTAGTTAAAATTTGGCATCGATGATATACGATCGATATATGCTCTATATATTGGAAGAACACAGGCTACTCACTTTCCTTTCGTTTTTTAAATTCCACGCGGACGGATTCGAGGGCAAAAGCTAGTAGGAAACAAAAGTTAAATGTCAGCTTACCTATCGACATGTAAACTAGTGCTGTCGGAACTGGAGACATCAGTGTGGTGTGTGTGTGCGGGGGCG